ACTACACCAAGGACTTTGGCATTGAGTGTCGGGTTGGACGGTTTCATAACATCTATGGACCATTTGGCACATGGAAAGGTAAGCTAAAATAGGAACTTCTTTGCATTATTTTTATTTGACCTTCTATAAATTAAAATGCTTCTCATTTGATGGCCCACAGGTGGGAGGGAGAAAGCCCCTGCTGCATTCTGTAGAAAGGCCCTTACCTCAACTGATAAATTTGAGATGTGGGGAGATGGGCTACAAACTCGATCTTTCACGTTCATTGATGAATGTGTCGAAGGTGTCCTTAGGTAAAATTCTTATCTTGGATAAACATTTCTTTGTTGAAGTTAATCAAGATGTTATTTTTATTGGACTAAAATTCTATAGTAGTTGAATGTTGGCTGACATTGATGTTATGTAGTCTTTTTAACTGTGGGCTACTATTTTTGCTATTGTGAACATAACAAATTCCATTTGTTAATGGAAAAATAATATATTTTAAATTTTCATCACTGCCGTTGGATAAAGCGTGTATTTTGAATTTTTCTTGTGATTTTATCACTAGAGATGCATAATTTAGGTGTATTGGTTTGGGGTGTACTAAAAAAGTACACTTTTTATCTTTTTTTAGGTCACATCACCTCTTTAATTTTTATACATATTTTTTTGTAAAAAGTCAAAAAGTGCACTTATTTTGATCATCCCAAACAAGAAGAAATCTATTTTGGAACATTATAAGTTATACATAGGTATAAAACTTCAACACACATGTTTCTTTATGAAGCGCCGCCCCCCCCCCCCCCCCCAATGAATTGGGACACGACTTTTACTTGGGAAATGATCTGCAAACAAACAAAAGCATTCTTGAAATTATAAGCCACAATGATGAGTGTTTTAGTTTGAGATGAAATGACCATAGAAGGTTACATCATTCTGTATGTGGATTTTTCATGGAAATTATGTTCATATATGACTCCTTTTTATTGTGGTAAAAAAGGATGTGATTTGGATGTAAAAATGGCAATAGGTCAACTTCTTTCTTTTGACGTTGGGCCTTTGTCCTTGTTGATTCTGTGTCTTGACATGAGTTGTGTGTTTCAGATTGACAAAATCAGACTTCAGAGAACCAGTGAATATTGGAAGCGATGAAATGGTTAGCATGAATGAGATGGCTGAGATTGTTCTGAGCTTCGAGAACAAGAAGCTGCCTATCCATCACATTCCCGGCCCAGAGGGCGTGCGCGGTCGAAACTCAGACAACACTCTGATTAAGGAGAAGCTTGGTTGGGCCCCTACTAGAGATTGAAGGTATCTGATGGAGAAATTTGATTTTTCTGTTTATGTCAATCTCTTTCTATTAGTAAATAGCTGATTCATCGATCTTATCCAAATATATTTATATCTGATGTTTTACGTTTACAGGACGGGCTGAGAATCACATACTTTTGGATCAAGGAGCAAATTGAGAAAGAGAAGGCTAAAGGCATCAATCTGTCAACTTATGGGTCGTCAAAAATTGTGGGAACGCAAGCTCCAGTCCGTTGGGCTCTCTTCGTGCTGCTGATGGCAAAGAATGAAGTGGGTCAGGCCAAGCAGTGTTTAGTCGGTGCACACAAATGCAAGGTTTTATGGTCAATTCACCATATTTTACTAGTGGGATTTATTTATGGATATGGAGAATCATTTAGATTGCAAGTCTGCTATTTCTTTATGTGATAACTATCTTATATGTGGAGGATGTCTCTCTACTCTTGCATTTTCTAGCTTCTTAGAGAGTAGACTTCTATTGTATGATGATTTATTGTTTGAGGAATATGTTATATATATATATATATCATGCACAATTCTTTTCCATTTTTCACTGTTAAGGTTAAGTACCCGAAAAATTATCAAGATATTGCCCTGAATGAAGATGTATGGATGAGATTCAATAATGTAATGTATTATGGTATATAGACTTTGGAATCATACATTGATATTTTTGTATTTAATTCTAAGTGAAAATTCGGAGTATATATAAGTTCCGTTTGTAGAGCTGTGGAAAAGTGATTATAACTCATACCCTAATAGTTTATAGTTTATAGTTGTGAACAAAGTTGATTTTTGACTTATAAATTAAGTTTCCCTCTTTACTCAGAATAGTTATTTTGACTTATAAAAAGTTATAACTGTATTGTTAAGTTAAATTAAACATATCAAAATAATTTAAATTAAATTAAAAACTGAAATAAATTAAAAATAAACATTATCAAATAGGGCCATAGTATTGCCCGCTTTTCACTATAAGCCCGTTCTTGCACTTGGATGCGTTCTTGCACTGAAGAAGACTTCCCACTAGTCATTTTCTAGGAAGCATTGTGGTTGTGATTTGTCAAAACTCAAATAAATAGGCATTTTTATTACAATTTTGTTTTGGGTTCTTTTTGCACCACACATTAGAAGAATGGAAGCTTACAAACCTGTGGTGCACAAAAGAATTTGTGATGTACTTTTAAGCCCTATTTGTTTTGAGGGTAGAATGAAGGTCTTATTTATTTTCAAAGGTAGAATGGAGAGGATTGATAGTGAGGGGATTAATAGTGAGGGGATTGTTAGTGAGAGAATTAAGTAAATTGTGTTTGTTTGATGATAGTTGTTAGTGTAGGAATTGTTAAATTATTTTTTATATAAATAAATATAAAAATAAAAAAATACAAAAACATAAAACATTAATGTTTTAAAAAAATGCCCAACATGTAAAAAATTAAGAATAAATAAAATAAAATAAAAAAATTTCAAAAAAAAATAAAATAATAATATTTACTTAACAAAAAATATAAAAAAATATAATATTAATGTTAAAAAAAATATGTCCGACATGTAAAAAATAAAATAAAAAATAAATAAAATATTTCTATTCCGCCGGACTATTTTTTTAATACCAAGTCTTGAGGCCCAAGGTTGAGTAAGGAATCCGTGAAATCCGTAATCCGATCCGTCTAGTCCAATTCGATAGGTTTGGATTGATTTTTTGAATCCGTGGTTCGGTTCCGGATTGAAGAATTAAAAATCCGTAGTCCACGGATTTGTTCGGATTGAACCCCACGGTTCTAGATTGGAACCAATCCGGACCATATATAAATAGTCTATATTTTTTTATATACATCCTCCCCATAGTATCTTCTCTTATTTCATATAAAACATAAACTCAAACCTAAACCCGCATAATATCTTCTTTTATTACTTTTGTTTGTTAGTTTTTAATTTTAATTTGTAATGGTCTAAATACTTATGGTGAAACAATTTTCTTATGATTGTTTAAATTCTAAAACAAGATGTCGCTATTATAGAAATACATGTTGCTATTATGAGAGCTAATATAGCGTATATATTATATTATATATATAATAAACACTTCAATTTCATAAAATATAAACATGCGCTATATAGCTCCATAATGCAACATGTATTTCTATTAATAGCGACATCTTGTTTTAGAATTTAAACAATCATAAGAAAATTTGTTTCACCTAAGTATTAAGACCCAAATTACAAATTAAAATTAAAAACTAAACAAACAAAAGTAATAAAAGAAGATATATGCGGGTTTAGGTTTTGAGTTTATGTTTTATATGAAATAAGAGAAGATACTATGGGGGAGGATGTATAATAAAAAATATAGACTAATTATATATGGTCGGATTGGTTCCAAATCTAGAACCGTGGGGTTTCAATCCCGGAATCAATCCGTGGACTACGGATTTTAAATTCTTCAATCCGCGAACCGAACCAACGGATTCAAAAAATCAAATCCAAACCTATCGAATTGGAACTAACTGGAGTCGGGATTAAACGGATTTCACGGATTCCTTACTCAACCCTTGGCCTCCGCAAGCTTGGTAATTGAAAAAAATAGTCCGGCGGAATAAGAAATTTTTATTTTTATTTATTTTTTATTTATTTTACAATGTCGGACAT